GGAGACACCTGTGTTCCCACTTCCTGTCCTCCCACCTTCTATGGTATCTTTATATTCAGCACACACACAACATTCTTTGTTCTTCCTCTGCAGGCTGCTCTGCATTCTGTATGATGGTAACCCTCTCAGACACTCAAACACTCAGAGGACAGTTTACTTTCTCAGGTCTCTTTATTTCAGTTCAACAGAACTCACTGGGTACATACAAAGTACAGCAGTTCTTCCACAACAGGTGGAAACAGAGATTCACATCTGAAATGTGTAGCCGACAAATCTGCGCAATGTCATCATGTCAATATGGACCAAAATCTGTACTGAATGTTTCTAGTATGTAGCTGAATCTATGCCACAAAGAGAGAAGGCAGTTCTGGAGGCAAAAAATGGGTCCAACCCACTACTGGCAAGGTGAACCTCATAAAGTGGATAAGTAGTTACACGAGCGCCAGTTTGCAGAAAACCGTTGAGAGAAAGGAACTGAAGTGTTTGGTCAGAGCAACCTTCACCTGCCAGACGTTGCTGATAGCAGGTCAATATTTCAGCTAATTTAGGGTTTTAGTAGAAGAGTGGAACCTCTTAGCGAATCCAGCCAGATAAGCTTGTGCATCGTGTCTGCAGAGGAGGGGAGAGAATAAAGAGAGAGCCTACAAGTGGTCTTCCCGTGCTGAAAAACAAATTCTAAATCATACAACAGTCTCGTCTGAGCATTAGCACCACAGTGTATTTCACATTAAAACGTCATTCGAATGTTAACAAAGGAAATTTGTGTCAGTGCAAATCGTGTTCTAAGGAATGTGCGACGGCTCCTCAATGCTCACTTTGCACTTTAGGAAACAGAGCTATTAGGTAGTCAGATAATGACAGGAACATTCTGCACTTTTTAGCAGTACGCATAATGACAAACCAAAAACACCGTCACAGTCTCGTATCTGCTTCTGTGCTTTCGTATTAACAACACCACACAAGAAACTGGTGAATGTACAGCATCTACACGTCTGTATTACAGACACTTGCAATGTAAACAATAACGACTTCTTCATGGTCCCTTTAGGTTTTGTGTGAATCTTTAAATGCAACATCGTCTTCTAACTCAGTGCTACAGGGTGTAAAAGGAAAAAAAACAACAACACAAAGCTAAACATTGTCTTCAGCTGTGTCCCTGTGACTTGTTTTTCTTTTCCCCTGGGCGAGCCTGAATGCAGCTCCATGCATGAGGCGCAGGCAGGACGACGCTGTTTCGTACTGCATCGTCTAAATAATACTGCAATGATACTGTGGCAAGATGTTTTTTGCCAAATTCTAAAAGCCTGTCAAAAAGAAAAAAAAACTGATGGCTTCAAGTGATTCACAATCAGTGTTTTACATTTGTAGTAAAAGGCTTAGTTCTGACTGTGAGAAAATACTTAAAATGTACATAAATATATGTCTACATGCAAATATCAAAGTAAAAAAATATAAATAGCTCGCTGAAATATATACATTTTACATTGAAAAACGTTTCTGGGAACTCTTTACCTGCATGTAAACTACTGCAGATATTACTGGACATTTTATGTAAAGTACAAAAAAAATAAAGAAAATATTTCTGTAACAATCTGGATTAAAAAAAAAAAAAAAAGTCCCAAATGGAGAACTTTCGGGAAAAGACAGCAAAGTCAGTCACGTTGTTTGTCTGTAGATGACTGAACCTTCTTCACATATTTCTTCTGGAACTCGTAGAAGACGCTGGCGGTCTTGGGAACAGGAGACGGACACAGAGGTTTGTACCTCTCCTCAGGATTTGGACACCATGACCCTGTGATACAGCACATTCACGATAATTACGAAAAAGAAGTGGAGCCTATTAAAAAAATTAGAGGAATTCATGTGTTGTATTTGCTACCTTTGACCTTGAAGTGGCTTTTACTGGAGTGCTGGTGCTTTTCCTTAGCATGGTTTGGCTTATCTGGAAAAAAACAAAAAACAAAACAAAGGCTTCGTTGAAAAGAGACTGAAAGCTCAGGTGTTACATATTCAACCTGAAAGACTCCTGGGTTGACCGGTTTTGTCTTTCAAATGTATTCTCCTTTGTATGAAATGAAGGCTTTTGACCTGCTAATTGAAGCATTGATTTGCTTTTGAATTTCTCCAGTGAGGGATCAAAATAAGTTGATCTTATCTCATGTAAATGATGCAGAAGTCAGCTGCCATTGAACTGATCATAGGGACTTCAGAGCGAACATGATTAACACTTGAATGTACAACTCACTGGATCAACAGCTGGCTTCCTGGTGTGTTTTTTACCTCCTGGTTTATTTTAGTATACTACACCATTTTACAGCCAACATACTCTGTACTGTGGTTGTGGAAATTCTACAATGAAGCTTGATTCTAAATGGAAATTTGTGATAAACCTGAAAAAAATGACTTGATTAGGTTTTTCTGCATGTATTTGAATCACACAAGCAGAATACAACTAGAGCTGCAGCAAGAGTTTGATCAGACGAGTCTGTCACCAGTCTGGTGTCGAGTCTCAGGCTGACTCTTAATGTTGCGTCTACATTATATCAAAGGTAAAATATCTGGAAAGCTACGATCTCATCCACTGAACCACTTCTGGTCAAGCCTGACCCTCCCAGAAGTGGACGCTGCTCATCAACCTCAGTACACAAGCATCAACAACACTGAGGTCCAATGAGGATAACTTTCAATGTCATTTCTTCAAATCCTACTGATTGAAACTGACGTATTATTCGTGCCATATTATTTTGTTTGTTTGATCCCTTGAAGTAAAAAAAAAAGTAGACACCGAGTTCACATCATGTACGATTTAATCAACAGGAAAAATACTACAGAAGAGCTTTATACAGTCTGATGACTTGTGATTTCCGTCTATGAGAGCCTTTGAGAGTTTTTACTCAGCACAAGACAGAACAATCTGTTGAGACATTTCAGCTCTTGTTTGGAGTCAAAAGTCATCTTCTGCAAACAACTCGACAGTGTTGATTTTAGACAATGGCTAGTGTTGGAATATATAATTCTGTAAAAGTACTGATAGTTTAGTATTCACACCAACAGCATTTAATGTGTATTAATGTGTGAGCTGTGCTGATCTGTAGAAGGGGAAAGAAGGATTCAAGCACTGGTCCAAGGCCTTGAAGGACTGAACTCAGGGTGACTAAGCCAGGTCAGACCGAAGGAATGCAGCTACACACACACACACACACACACACACACACAATAATGTGTGTACCTTGCACTGATAAGCATATCATCCCCCTACCAAGTAATGGCAGCAGCTGCAGCATACGGCAGCTAAACAAAGGAAAAGTACCGACATCCAGGGAGCAGGAGATGTTAGTGGAGAGGTTTTTCTTTACAGGGTGCGGATGCTGCGGATTGGATGAATCGTGTGCCAAGAGATATGGACACATCTGTGCACCAACGAAGAGAGGGCTAAGTTTAAATCCTGGTTCCTCCCCAACCAGATTCACTATTTAAATTAAATGTCTGTGTTTAGTAGCCAATCACCTTCCACTACACTGAATTAAATGTTTAGATGAAGCTCCACCCATTACTGGCGAAGTCAGTCACAGATTAACGGCTTGCTGACTGTGATTTTCTGAACCAGTGATGGATCTTTAAACAAGTGAAATATCTTATATAGGCGAGTTGCTTATGTTAAACTAAGAACCAATGATTCATACCATATGGGAAACCCAACCTCTAGGCAATGAAGCAACCTTCCTTCGGTAACCTTTGACCTGATCACTTGTCAAAACATCCCAAACCACATGTAGCCTTCGACTTGGGGAACCCGGTCACAAACCCTTAAAACTCATGGGTTAGAATATCAGAAACCACAAATGAAAACTCAAACCGGACCAGCAGCTCTGTCACTAATGACTTCTTTGTGTGTGCAGGTGTTCAAGTCTGAGTTGTTTTTTTTTTTTTGCTCATTTGTCACAGCTTACAATAACAAACTCCTATCAGAAATATTTAAATGAAAGCAGAGTGATGTCATTTTTAAAAGAGGATTTGCGTTTTGAAAATGGTATGTAAATTTCTACTGTGTGGGAGTGCTGTGGGGCGTGCAGGGTGTTGGTGTGACACCTCAGCCTTGCTTAATACATTTTGCTCCTCAAAACCGATTCTGTTGAATCACTGCTGTATCACTTCAGTCTCAATATTTACCTGGAGCACAATCGGTGGGTTCCTTCCTCCTGTGGGATCCATCTTTGAAGTCGAAGGTTTTGGGTAATACACAGAACTTCAACACGTTCTCCTGGAGAGGCATGATCTTGCTGCTTCCATTTTTAGTGTCACTTCTCTCACGACCATCGGGCTGATTGGGTTTCTTTACTTTGCCGGTTTTGAGTCTAATAGACAGGGACCTCTTCCTCTTCAGATTCCGGCACCTCTTGCTGTTTGCATGTAAGACTCTCATCTCAGAGTTCTCCCTCTTGAGGCTCACCCCAGGAACAAAGGCAGACAGACGTTTCTGCCTTTTCAGTTTGTTTCTGTGCCAAAGTTCAGCTGGTGGTAAACTTTGCCTCCATTTTTCATGAAGACATTGTTTTAGTGACTGTTTCCTTTGCACGGCCTCACTGGACTTCCTCTTCAAGGGGCTGAGATGCACAGAGACAACTTCTGGAGGCCGATTTGTTTCATCTCCTGGAAAAGCATGACTCTTCCTCTTACCGATTACAGCACACTTACCTTGCTGCGCTGAGCCAAACAGTACCAGTTCCACAGTTCTAACATTTGAGCTTAAAGGCTGTGCTTCCACTGCATCGACCAGAGTCTTCTCACATTTTGAAGCGCCATGAAAAGCATGCTCTGAGCTCAGGTCAACAGAGAGTTTGCATTTCTTTGACTTCTTTTGAAAGGGAGAAAATGTATGATGGCTGCTTCGTCTCTTCTGTCCTCTCTCAGCTGTTTCTTGTTCAGTGCAGCTGCTGGAAGATGTCTGGAGGTCAGCTGTGGCACTGATTTGAGTTTGTCCTTTGTTTTCCATTTGAGACTTTGCCACATCTGCAGATTTTAACTGAGCCTGTGCACAGCCTTCCTTACGGTCCGTCATCTGGATGGCAACGTTGTGCTCAGTGCTTTCATTTTGTTTGTCATCACAGACTGAAGCGCTCGACTGCATCGTTCCTGTGGATTTCGGGTGTTCTTGCTCACATTCGTACTCAGGTTCTGACAGCTCAGTGGCAACTTTTGGCGTCTGGATGGGAGTTTCATTTTCACGGATGGGGAGACCTTCATCCTCGCCGTCAGTTATGAATACAATGCTTGACTCGCTGCTTGTGCTTATCTCGAGAGTACTTTCTTCGTCACAAGTTGAGTCCGGTTTGCCTTTGTCGTCAGTTAAGTCAATCATTTGAACGTCCTCATTGCAAGGCTCAGAGCTACAAATAGTTCCGATTTGACCGTCAGTGTTTTCCTTGTCCTCCTCTGGATCATCTTCTTGAATGTCAAATATTGTGAAAGAACTCGTCTCAAACAGGCTATCGTCTTTAGGCGCTGCCTCCTTTTCCCTGTCAAGTGTCTCATCGGTACCATCTTTATCATTTTGTCGTTCCTTGCACCGGCATTTCCAAGGTTTGTTTTCCCCGCAAAATAATTCCACCACTCTTGCAAGACAACAAATCTGTTCAATTGGCTCGCAAGCCTCACTCTCCAGTATTGACAACGTGGCACCTGTATCCTCAGATGTTTCACTCTCCACAGAACTACAAATGATCTCCTCTGCTTGACTATCGGTATCCGTGCTTTGTGGCATCTCAGTTTGTCCTTGCTCAAAGAAACGTTTGGCCGCTTTCGGAGACAAAACTTGGATGTTAAATGAGTACCGCGGGTCACTGGAAGTCTCACTTTCTGTCTCATCAAAGGAGGCAGTTGGAGTTGAGGGGGCTTCAACACTGGAGGCTTGTTTCTCTTCACCTGAATCAACCGGTTCGAGCTCTGTTGGTAATAAAACTTTGTCTGGCACCTGACTCCCAAGTGGCTCAGGAATACTGTCGACCGTCTCCACCTGATCTGTCTGGCTGTCACTGTCCGGCTCCGGAAGATGACTCGTCAAAGTCCACGGGAAGCCAAACTCTTTGTCTATGTCATCGAGCTGCTCATTGAGATTCAACCACGAAGATTTGTAAGGCAGTTCTGAATAGACTTCATCATGTTTGAGTAAATGGTGTTTTTCGAGTTCCTGTCCAAAGCCGCGTATCACCTGCGACAGTATAACAGTGTCTGATTTAACGTGTGTTTGGCAGAAATTGGAAACCTCTCTGACTAAAACCTTGAATGACCCCATCTTGAGATGCGATATCAATGTGCTGTAGCTGCCATCCCAAAACATATGTAATATTCGGTGTGGAAGACTAAGATTTGTAAAATCCTCTGGCGTAGTCGGAGCTTTTTCAACCCTCTGTATTACTTCAATTAGTGCATCAAACATCCATTGGGTTGTTGGGAGTGAAGAATGCTCTGGAGTTGGAGGTTTTACCATCTCAGCTTGGTCTTCAGAGCAGTGTTGGTTTGCTGGCATTTTCAAAAGTAGGGATTTTTTAGCAGCATTTGTAATTCCAATATCCGGAACAGATTTTTGCAAGTTTCGAGGATCTGAATCTGACTTTGACAAAACGGCACCATCATTAGATTCTGCTAGATAGCTTTTTTCAGATTTGTTGGATAGCACTTGATTTGGGTTTTCTGGGTAAAGATTGGATTCCTTTGTCAAATTCTCACCATTTCTGTTTTTTGCCCCAGGTGGTGAAACAAAGACTTTCTCGGGGTTCCACAAGGAGTCACCTGTGGTAATGGCAGTTTGACAGCTTTCCAGGGGCAACGGTTGAACTACAGCAACAGCTCTTGTGCCAGAGCGAGTAGGCGAAGAGTGAATGGAGCTGTCCTTTTGTTTGACTGATGAAAGCATTTCAAGTGGCTCCTGACTGTTTGCCACAGATGATTGAGTCTTGTTTCTTTGCGGTGAAACATCCTCAAGCAGTTGCATCAGCTGAGATACACCACTCAGCAATCCAACTGGATTCCCTTTTGAGGCTGTGCCATCGTTACGAAGAAATGTATTGTCTGCCTTGCTGCTAAGATGTCCATGTCCCGTTGCAGGGACGAGGAAGACATTTGGTGCAGGGTTTTGTTGAGGTTGCGCATGTACAAGGTGTAAGTTTGATATAGAACTCTGAGAGCTTTTAGGCAAAGACTGTCCAGAGTGGAGTGATAAGGACTGGGCGTTATTCAAATTACAACTTTCAGAGACAGGTGACAGCACAGGTTGCACATTTTGATGAATCACTGTCGTTCCGGCTTTGCCTGCAAACGTCTGCAATTGGTGATGTGTACTTCTATATGAGGGAGGAGGGCGATTGCAGCCCGTTGTGTATGACCCAGGTGAAGCTTCTGCACTCATGTTATGCCTTAACATTTGCTGATGTGTAACAGCAGGATTTATGGAAAGCTCATTTGTTTTTGTCAAGAAAATATTTCTTTCATACTGCTTCCATGGATTTGCGTTACTGGAGATGGTGGAATCGCCCCCATTGTTACAAGCTGGTGTCAGTTGAGCCACATACGACGTCAGTGCCCTTGGTGATGGGTGTGTTCGAATGCCGTTGTTCCCAAGAGGCTGAGACGTAGACATACTGTAACCTGCTTGGGGTACGCAAGGAGACAATCCAATCTGAGTGCTGTTTTGTTGGTGAATCTGGTTATGAGCAGCCTGAACGGTGTGTCTGCTGTGTGCAGCAGCAGACGAGGTAGCTGTTGTAGTGTACGCTGAACCGGGAGTCCAGTTGTTCAGAACCCGACTGTGTGGCAGATGAGACTTTTTTCGACCCTTCTGAATCCTCACTGGCTGACTTTCAGTAACTACAGCTGACTGCTTGCAGTGAGGCGACGTGTTTTGCTGGTTGTACGTATTGTTCACATACATCTTGTTGGGTTGACTCTGAGTGGCAGAATTCTGATGAAAATCTTGTTGGGTGGGAACCTGTAATCCACGAGAAGCTGTCAAACAGAGTTCTTCAATTTGCGAGTCAGTTGTTGAGCTGGTAAGCAACAACTCAAGAAAAGGATGGTTAGTTTTCATTTTACATTTCTGCTCTGAAGAAAGTCTCTGGCCTCCAGAGGGCTGCCGATTCGACATCTGTCTGTTGGAGTAAACTCCATTGTGCGAGATGAAATGAGCACCTGCCAGTGGTTGGACTCCTGAGTTCACCATCTGGTACTGACGTGAGTTATTTGCAGTCCCAGCGAGCTGATTTCTCGTTGCATTGTGGGTAAGATGAGGCACAGCTTGGGAGGGTTGTGACAGTGGTCCGACCTGTCGGTGTTGTCCATTCATCAATGCACAAGGTTGCATTTTTGCCCTCCGTTTAGCCTCGTGGCAGGTTGAGGATGTAGCGTTTCTGAAAGAAAGGGATACAAAAATATTGACCAGTGCAACACACTTTACATTACACTTGACAGAAATCCAACTTGTGCTCTCTCAAGCACACCCATGAGTTGTTTCTCTCCTCCGGCCATGGCCCTTGTTTTTCAGCAAAAGTGTCATGACTCATTTTTTGTCATGATGTCAGAGGTAATCGATGGGGAGTTTCTGTTACAGCTCAGACAGTGCAAAGATTACTACATAAAATACAATATTAATGAAAAGTAGCTGAAGGGACCTTGTGTTTTACCACAAATCCACAGAGTTATTTTTTAGCAGACGTGGGAGGCTGTCTTGAAACATATGAACAAGGACAACACTCTGTGTCAAACCAACAGCTGCAGGGCGACAAGAGGTGATGAGCTACAGCTACATCACATTGGTTTAACTCCAGAACGTATAAAAACACACTCGGAGAAGAAGAATAAATACAAACTTTGTTTATTGTGCCTGCTTGCAAGTGTGACCAGGAAAGTGGAAAAAGGCAAGGCTTCTGCGTTTGGCTGAAAGGAAAAATACCAGCACGATGACGAACCAAAACACCAAAACCCACAAGAGATTCTGAAGAAGTCAAAGTAAAACTAAAGTACGACCCCGCCTAGTAAAGAGACAGATGAAGCAGCACAACTCCTCCTGCAAAGAACAACTGAAGAAAACAGATTCTGAAGAATGGAAGATCAGGAAGGTTGAGTCTTTCATCAAAAATAAAAGGAGGACATAGTTCTGAAGTAATAAAGAAATAAAAGATTTGAATCTGCCCTAAATCATGCAAAAAAAAAAGAAAAAAGAACCTTGAACATACCGCTATACAATCGACTGCACAACATGCAAAACAATAAGTGCACACGTTTTGTGTCAACCGGCGGCCTTCTCGCTGTGAGGCAACAGTGCTACCAACTGCGCTACCTTGCAGCCCTCTGAAAGTACAGTGTACAGCAAATACAGAGCATTTAAATCCATCAGTTTTAGTTCGCTGGAGAAGGAGCATCTCGTTTAAAAAGATCTTTCAGCATAGTACAGAGTATTAGGTATAACAGAAGGCAGAACACAGCTTACTTTTAAAATATCAGACTCATGAGAGGGTTATGTTGTGTATAAACATATTATATCATGCGTGATGTATAGTCCTTAAGGTTTAAAATATAAAAGAAGTTACATATATGCACATAGTCATGAAATGTCTCCTTTTGAAGAAGTTGCTTTGGTCTTTTCCTTCTATGGTTTCACAGGACAAGCAACAGACGGAGAAAAAGACGGAGGAAAAGAAGTCCATGCAAGGATGCAATTACTCAGTGTGATGAAGATGGGCCCCAATCAATTGTTTTACGACCTGACCATGCATCATGTGACTTAGCAGTATAAAGAGGGGTCAGAGGGAAAGAGGGAAAGAGTTTGACCCAGAGCTCTGTAATGCAATATTCAATGTGTAATTAAATTGATTGATTGAGACCGAACTGAATCTCATCTCATCTTTAGAAACGAACACGCGGAGAAAAGACAGTTTCTCCAACAGTTACTAACTGGAGCTTGTGACAGAAAGTGAACTTAATAAACCACAATGTCTTTGCAAATTTTGTTATTTGCATGGAGGTCAGACAGAGGGCAGAAAAACAGGAGGAAACAACTTCCCTTTACAGTACAGAGCACGCTGTGGAGAAAGTTCTTCTTGACAGCTTGATGCAAAAGTGTCTGGGATCACACAAAAGTGTTAGCAAAAGCTCATGTAAGATAGGTCACAAAAGCTAAGAAAAATCAGTCTTGGCCAAGGATACAATGCACAGAGTGTAAGTTTATTCAAGTATTCAGCAAAGCAGAACACTGTCACAAACTGAGCCCTCTAGAAAGACTGAAGATGTCTCAAAACCGGTCCCCCTTTTATAGCAAACAGGTGGGTATCGTCCCGCACCCCTTTTCTTTGTTTTTCGCTCCCAGAGTGGATATCTAATGGAGACAGATTCTTATCATATTGTCAGCTCTTAATGTCAGATTAATGTATTTGGATTGTCCTTTTCCACCGGTAGGGTTGTTGACTTTCAGCACATATTTTTTAAAAACATCTCTTCGTTGCCATGGAAAACCTTTTAGCCAACTTGGAACAGCTTTTTTGCAAGATCGATGTCATGGATAACCTTTTAGTCAAGTCCAAGCTCAAATCTCTGTACACACAGCTGCAGGGAGGCCCACTCTACAACTGGGAAACGAATCATCAATCTTATATGGTCTTATAGATTTTCTGCCTCCACAAGCGCACAAGATTATTGTCATTGGTTTGTCTTACAGAGAGGAACAAGACTGAGCCAAAGTGGTGCGACTGAGTTCAGGTCAAAGAAAATACCAACGGCTACGGAGGCCACATGTAAGCAGCAGGTTGTAGAAGTTTATTGAAAGGCCGGAGTAAGGAATTGTACTAGAGTTTTTCCATTACAAGCTTAAGGCCTGAACTTAATGCAAAATACGCTGTTGTTTTTGTTTGTTTGTTTTAAATCCTAGGTCTGGGTTTAAGCTAGCAGACAATATAACACACTCATAAATGGGAAAACTTCAAGGATGACAAACAATAAGATGCGATTTAACTATCTGCTGTATGAAAGTTGTATCTTTAGAAGCCTCCACAGGGTCAAATCTTCATTAAGGTTTTCTTCGTTTGTTGGTGTCCAAACAGGCAACATGAGGTTTACAGGCCAGGAGCCCTCCGACTTGTATGTCTCCAAGATTTATGATGACTCCTCTGTCAAGGCTTGGAAGATCCCAGGTAGCTCAAATTTAGAAAATGTCCTTTGAAATGACGTGCTGTCCCACAGACTGTTGTATTCCTTATGAGAGTTGGGGTAGAAAAAAAAGGTTTGGTGGAACAGGTGTCGTGGTCCCTCTCGGCAGATGGGTGTAAAAATGTCTTGGATAACGCAAAAATGACTAACAGTAGTTCGGGTGAGAATGGACACAACAGTTTAGAATAATCAGCCTTGGACAAGGAGAAAATGCACAGAGTTTAAGTTTATTCAAGTATTCAGCAAAAGCAGAACACTCTCACAAACTGAGCCCTCTAGAAAGACTGAAGACGTCTTAAAACTGGTCCCCTTTTGTAGGAAATGGGCTGGTGTGGCTCCACCTTCCTTTTTCTTTATTCTTAGCCTCCAATGCTGTTTTCTAATGGAGGCAAATTCCCTCCCTATT